GATCATATAACAGAAACTAACTTCCTGTCCTAAAACTGTCATATGGTAGTTACAGGAAAACAACTTCCTGTAAAAAAACGGTCATATTACCTGTCAAAAACTAACATAAAATCGGGTCTATAAATGGATCACAAAACTGGGTGTTTTTACAAAAAAATACGGATTTCTGAAACATTTTTTATATAGTAACATAACTAATAAAATCAGCTCGACCCCAGCCAGGGGCTCTGCCCCTTGGACCCCGCTCCAAGGGGCGCTGCGCCCGAACCCCCGTCAGTTCAGGGGCTTCGCCCCTAAATAGCAGTATACTTTCAACAATGACAAAATCAAACAAATGTGCACTCCGCACCATACTAATTTGTTCGATAATTGTCAAAGTGACATTGATCAACAAATTAACCCCATTACACTTAAATACTATTAGTGATATAAAATCACCAACAATATATATATATATATATATATATATATATATATATAGGCTTAGGTTATATATATAGGCTTAGGTTATTCTATTCAAAGTAATTATTATGTTATTGTATGTATAAATGTGGGCCAATCATTTTACTTATTTTAAGAAAGTGATTAATACATATTATTAAATTAAAGATAATTGAAAAATACCATCTAATTTCATTCTAAGGGTATTTTAGACAATTGAGATAAATTTAAAAAAGGAAAATTCCATATTTTTTGGGATAATTAACTCTCTTGATTTTAAAATTCTAATTTTTTTTAATTACTTTAATTTTAATTATAACGTAATTTTTATAAATAAACCCGATTTTATTCTGTTAGAATCATATTCTCTAGGAATTTCAGGATACATATTTCTATTAGAATGATATTCTATGAGAATGCCAACACGGACTAATAACAAATTTATTGATACAACTTCAAATTTTTCATTACATTCTTAAAAAAGTAAAAACTTTATATAATAGTCTATGACAATGAAATACTCACTAATAACAAACAAAACCATGTATATTATTTGACCTGAATATTCTAGCAGAATATATTATTACATATACTCCTATCATTCTATTGTAGATTATTTTATCAGAAGAATAACTCTTTCCTTTATGAAGACCAGTGACAATTGTTCAACCATCATCTAATCTTCAAGCCCTTGATCATCAATGAAATTAGACATTTTACGAAAATAATTGCCATGAATCAAATCATGTAAGAATAATATTCTCTGAGAATGCTTTTACATGGCAAATAAATAACACAAAAATTTAGTAAATCTGACAGAATGAATACCACATGGTCTGGTCAGATTATTTTTCAGGAACTTCCACAAACACCTGTCATGCATCATAATAAGCTCTATGACAAATTTCACCAAAAGATTGTTAATTTGCAAATTCTACCAGACCTGAAGTGAAAATAACATGATTTGCAAGTGTGTAAGCTACCTTGCTTCTATGATTCAATAGTAGGCTACAAAACTTCATAATATATCTCAATCAATTCATATGCTGCAATCATCTTCCCTTGCCCTGAATACATGTTCTAAGTGATACAGCTTTTTTGGATTTCTTACATCTTTCTTCTTGCCCTAATCACAGCCGAAACAGGACTTTCCAACACCAACTGACCAGCAAACTGCATTTTTTAGCCATGCTTTACTTCAAGATTTACATTTTTAAGAGTTGGATGTTCAAAACAGAAGATGACACAAAAAAGAAAACCCGCCAAATAAAAGTAGTGAATATAATTCAAAGTGAATAATTCTTGAAATCCATTTAACCCATACCCTGTGTACCTTTATGATTTTGACGAAGGAGTGAAAATTAGAAAGATAGAAACAAATATGATGACTTCTGGCAAGGATCCGTGGGTCTGCGACAATAGATGTTGGAGAACCAAGAAATGGCATACATAAACCCAAATTGAATATCCGTTTCTTTCTTTTTCAGAATACATCGATTTTGGTAGAAAAAATCTTCAAAAAGAACTAAAATGAAAGAGCGACAAAAGAATTTGTAGAAAAACGTATTATCAGAATCAAACCAATTCTTTCTTACCTCCAACAAATCCGATTCTTTGTTACTCTTCATCAATCTGAAACAGAATAAATATAGTTTCCTTTAGATAGCTCTGATTCCTCATACGTTGATAGGTCTATTTTCCCCTTCACACATCACCATCAGATTAGGAAGACGGCTTCACGGATTCTTCCCACCTTCACTGCTTCGGCCTCGTCGATTCCGGAGACAACCTCCTCGCAAATCGAACGACCAAATGCGACCCTTTGCACCCCTTATCGCGTTCGTGTTTCCCTCTCACTGTATTCCATTCGTCTGCATTCTTCCATCTTAGCCCGATCTGTTAGTCAGGTGATGAACACGGGGAAATAAAGCCATTCTTTTTGTTTCAGTTCATTATTTTTGATGGAAGACATCGATGACGGCTGTATATAAGAAAAGAAATTAGGTTAAAACTGAATGCTAGCATGATTATAGGGATTATTTGTGGAAGCTATTTATCATATTACTAAAATACGCTTGTTTATTTATTTAATTATTTAATTTTTTATTTATCTTTGATTGACCCACATTTATGCATACAATAACACAATAATTACTTTGAATACTTGAACCTATATATATATATATATATATATATATATATTCACCCCTATACAGAAAGATGATTGAATATCCGAATTTTAAAAACTAGTAGCATATGATTAAAAAAAAGCGGATCCTTATTACCTTGTTAAGTTTGAAATTAAATAATTAGAAAATTTGTGTATAGTTAATTAGTTATAGTAGGGGTATACTAGGTAGATGTTGCTCTTCTGATGTTTTTGAAAAGGCCAAATGCGAATCAACCAGGAAACTGAATATATATATATTATATATATATATATATATATATATATATATATATATATATATATATATATATATATATATATATATATATATATTCCTTTTTGCTAGAACAATCTTAAAGTAGGAATGTACTAAAAAACCAAAGGTTCCTTAATCAGTTAACTATTACTCACCGTAGTTATCATCAATATATTCAATCATACTATCCGCATTCTTGAACAAGTTTGTCTTTGCAACCCACCTTTTCAGTTAAAAGGAGAGAGGTTAAAATCAGGGGCGGTTTTACCTAGGTGCCAGTTGTGGCACCGAGAACACCTAGTTCCCAAGTACGCAGTGGAAAAATTTTCGATTTTCGATCTTTTTATCTATTTTTCCTTCACCAGCAACACCTATTTCAGCCTCGGCAACACCTAGTATGTATTCTTGCGTCCGCCCCTGGTTAACATCAGAGATGATAAGAAATCAGGAGGATTAATTCGAGATACAGATTTAACATGGACGAGCATGAAGAAAGTAACAAAGGAGACGAAGGTGGACACTGTATAAACCCTAGCCTTTGGCATACTAATATTAACATCGGTATAAACCCATGGATCGGGCGTCAGGAGGGCATATAGCTTTTTTTATCTTCTGCACAAGGGTTTATTGTAGAGATACCGTCAGCCAGAGGTGGATTAAAAGTGATGTAGGCGGCTGAAAGAGGGTTGAACATGGCGATTCCCCGCGACAAGAAGGCAATGCCGACAAACTTGGAAGTGTTTGTGGTGGAGGATTTTTCTTACCATGAAAAAAATGGGAAATTAAGTAATCTAATCAAAATTTGTGTTCTAGCTAACAATAGTAACAAAGTTTTTACTTTTCTTTAAAATAACCACTTGGTTTGGTGGGCCAGTCCGGACTAGAAAAATGAACCAAGCCTAATATTGTAGTCCAATGGTATATATATGGGACCCCTACACAAAATTCCGGAAAAAGCGTTCAGGATTTTGCAATTATGAAGTTTGTTCTACCTGTATTTCAGACCGAGTTTTCAACATGGATTCGTCAAACCAAGTGAGTTCTATTCTTTAAGTTACTTACATTTGAGTTTAGAAACAAATATATGTATTCTGGGCTTGGGCCGGTTTTCGGGTCCAGAATGACTCATTCCGGACCAAAGGATTATTTAAAAAAATGGTTATATTTAAAAAAAACCCAAAAAATTGGTTAGATTACTCAATTTTCTTATTTTTAATCGTTCATGGAGATTAATAAACATATTTAACCGATTATCTAGGTCACAGTTGGTGGATTAAAGCCTAACACCCCGTTCTTGAGTTCAACTTAACGAGAGAAAAGAAAGAAAATATGTGAAAATGAGAAGAAAATAAAAGAAATTGGTGTTCCCGAGTTTCATTAAAGGAAAGAAATTGAAGGAAGTGAGAGGAAATGGAAACATCACTTTCCCTCCTAACTTTCTTTCCGATTTGGGAAGAAAAAACAAAATGATTAATTTTCCTTCCACTTCTCTTCAATTCGGGAACACAAAAGAAAATTTTGTTTTCCTTTTTTTTTTTCTCTTATTTTCTCTCCTGACTTTCTTTTCTTTTCTTTTGTTTAATTCGGGAACTAGACGTAAAGAATCATTACTTCAATAGTTTTGTTTTGTTGAACCGAACTAGTTTTTGACTTTTGCAAAAATATTTTATTATTGACTAAAAATTGAAATCGATGAATAGTAAAGAAATGACCTAAAGATATAGGTGTTTGAGTTTGTTTTTAAAATGAGTTTTTATATTTTTCTTTTTGAGAAAATCAAAAAGTTTAATGAGATGTTTGAGAACTTTAAAAGTTCTTTTTAGAATAGCTTTCGGCTAAAACACTCCCTTTTCAAAAGTTAAAAAATGTTATCTTTTGCTGATTTTTGGGATTTTAAAAGGTAAAAAGTTAAAAGCTATTCCAAACGTATTTTTAAAACTTCTTTTGACAAAAGTAACAAAGGTAAAAAATTAAAATCTTTTCCAAACGTATTTTTAAAACTTCTTTTGACAAAAGTAACAACTAAATAAAAACTTTTATGAAAAAGACTTTTGAGGTCAAAAAAAAAAAAAAAAAAAACTCACCAACACCCCGTAACCCCATAGTCGATGGTTTTCCCCTTCCCTCTTTTCTGCTTTTATTGCTCTACTGTTTTATGCACCTTTTCTGTACCCTTTTTCATCAGGTGAACCCCTTCTTTGAACAATCTCAAATAAAAAAAATGGGTAAGTGGAATTATAGAAGGAGATGGACTCCGAAGAATTATTATCGCGATCAAAGAATACCATCGCCCCCTACATATTACGATACTGAGTTTAAATTTCGTGGTAATTCATCTATTCTTTCACCAGTCTGATCTTGATGCAGGATCTTTCCTTTGATTTTTCTCCTTTCATGCATTATCTTGGGTGTATTTTTCGACTTATGTTATTGGAATTATGTGTATGAAGATCAATTTTTTGTAGTTTCAACAATGTTCTTCATCTTCGCGCTTCATGGTATTAATCGTTAATGTGTTGATGAAGATTTGAATTTGAGTCTTGGTTTATAGATTTGCAATCAACTGATCAAGAATTAGGGGTTTAGGGTTTTAACTCAAGAAAATAAATTATTATGGGAGTTTCAAATGACTAAATTGAGAGAAAGGCACTCGATTGAATTCAGTTATCGCTGCAAAATGATAAATTGAGTGGTTATTTGCTAGTGTGAGGATTTATTGGGGGATAATAGCCTAATAGGCGTACTTGAATGCATAATGTAAGATAATTGATTTACCATATAGGTTTTCTAGGGTTTGCAAGTAAGATGAGCCTAGGGTTTACTTAAAGGACTTGGTAACACAATGGAAGATTAGCTTATAAAGGTCTCAAATGCTGTTGATTCAGTAAGTAATGGATTAAATACATCTTGAAGTCGTGCTGCATTTAACATCTTACAAAATCATGCAATGCAATATATGATTCTATATCAACATCCTTTCTTTCAAAAGATTTAAAACATGAAACACTATGCATCTATCCCTTAATATACAAACATGTAAAAATGTTAATGCTTGTCAATTCATAAAGTCACATTTTGATATTTATTCCCTTTTTTGTGCATCATTTGCATCAACCTTTCAGTCTAGATGTCAATCTAAACCACTCAAAGGTAAACACCAATACATAATGTTAATTCTCTCAACAGGAGCTTGGAAGAATGAGGAGCTACCATGGGAAGAAAGATTCTGCCTTTCAGTAGGAATCCCATGGGAAAAGATTGTGAATGCTAAAAACTACATGAACTGCTATGACAATGTGATAAACTGGAATGATTCAGCTGGTGAAGCATCATTTTCTGAAGCCAAGAACCGATTTTGGGCAAAAATTAATGAAATCCCAATTGACAAATCTCAACCTAATCCTGATCCAGACATGTATAACCATCATGACATTGATTGGAATCCAGAGATTGATCTTGAATTAATCAAGGATTTGGATCGAGCATATTTCAACCCTGATGAGCCACAAAAAGTTGAAACTCTTGATGGGATTAAGAGCAATAATGACGGTTTCGTCCCTGGATGTATTATAGGATTGAATGAAATGAATAAAGGTAGTGAGAATCCTTGGGAACGTAGTAAAAATGATAAAATCAACGGTTGGGATTCTTTTAATAACTCTGTAAATAAGAATATAGATCCTTGGGAGAGAGGAGTTACTCAAGAAGATAGAGAAATAAAGGATTGTGGATGGGGTGGTGTGAGTGGCTCATGGCACAATGACATGATGACACGTGGAGGTGGAGCAAATAAGTCATGGAAAAGGGTAGATGATAATTCTAAAAACTCGTGGGGAAATAATAGAAATAGTCAAAGATATGAACACAATGCATATGTTGGCACTTCACAAGGAACACAAAGAGGAAATAACAGGGGTAATTTTGGTAGAGGTCAACATAATGGAAGTGGTTGGGATTCTAAAATTGGTTCCCTAAAAAGGGAAGGTTCTCAACAGTATACATCAACTTACAAAAGTGCTAGACTTCAATATGATGATTATAGGGCTAGAGGTAATCAGTATCGAAGGTGAGATACATATAATAGAAAGTTATGATTTTTAATATTTTTTGAATCGCTTTTGTTATATGCGATATTATGTAAAAACTAGCACGTGACACCCTTTTTTGGTGCTAATCTAATGTGCACACATTTTGTAGCGAAAGTGATGCATCATATAACTAAGAGTCCCTCTTTTTGTTTTATATGTATGGGTTTGATATATTGTTGAGGGTTAAATGCATGAAATAGGAACATGGTTTTATTTGTTTGTTTATTATAATTTCTTACTTCAGATCTTTGTCTTACAGCATTGTACTTTGATGATGAATCTACCCAATTATAGTGTAGGCTTGAAAAGTAAAAAGCCTGTTTTGTAAGGGCTTTTTGTTTGATGTATTGGCAAATTTATGTTAATTTCACTTATGTACGTTTTGAAGTTGCTAAATTGAGCTGCATGCTAAATGAGATTTTAAAAGCTTTTCTTATATGAGAAGTCAAAATCTTTTCTTACATTTAGAAATTACAAGGCTAGTGTTGAAAAGGATATAGTTACAACCTACACTTATAACTTACTTAAGAACATATAGTCGTGGTGAATTCACCTCAAATGAGTTTTGCCAATCACATGGAATCAATGTACACTTGCCTGACAAATTATAACTTGGTGAAGTCTTTGATCTTGTTGCAAAACATGATGCCATTCGTGTTGTACTTGCAATGACTCCTCAGTTTAGTTGGGAGGTTTTTCAACTTGATGTGAAAAGTGTTTTTCTTCATGGAAAGCATGAAGAAGTATTTGCACAACCTAGGGATTCTTAAAGAAAGGAGAAGAAGAGAAAGTTTGTAGTCCGGAGAAAGCGTTTTATGTAGCTTTAAACATGCTCACACTATACAATAGAATTGAAGCTTGTTTTGCGCATGAAGGTTATGAGAGGTGTCTAAGGTGCTGTTTGTTTTTTTGAAGCCAAAATGTCTGCAGTCTGCGGACCACATCTGCAAGTCTCTGTGGCAGAAGAGGTGGACCAAATATCTGCAGTCTGCAATAAGAAGACTGTTTGTTTTTAACGTCTGCAGATGTTGAAATAAATTGATTTTTCAAACTTAATTTCATGTCATAAACATTAAAAATGTATTTTCAGCAAAAAAAAAAGAAAAAAAAACTGCACGGTGGCGTATGTTTTTTTTTTTTTTTGTTTAGGTTAAAATGAGGTTTGAAGACCTTTGAAGACAGTGGCCCATGTTTGCGCCAGGAAGACCTCGCGCAGACGTTTTTTGATCTGCGCATTTCCAAAAAACAAACACTATGTGAGGGCGTTGCGCAGATCTTCACAAAAAAAACAAACCCCTAAATGAGCATAACAGTGTTCACAAAGTTGAATTGAGGTAATTGGTTATTGCTACAATTGAGTAGCCTTTTCAAAGTACAATGCTATAATAGGAAAAATATGAGAGTAGAATGCTATAATAAACTGAAATATAAATAAAAGCCCCTATATTTTGATTATATATTTATTATTTTTTTTCGGTTTAACCACCTTATATTTAATCTTGGTCAACGAAAGCCACCCATTTTTGAAAGAATTTTCCATTGTGGCCATTGTGACCCCTTATTCAGAGATGGAGCCAAGATTGTAGGATGAGGGGGGATTACATCGTAATAAGAATATTAAAATATTTTTTTATATCCGAAGAATAAAATAGAATATGTAAAATTGATAAAGAAAACCGTCTAAAAAACTACATCAATAGCTTAAAATTGAAAGTCGTTGATCTATATCACAAACTATTTATGAACAAGAATTAAAATAAATGGACCTTATGTCATAAAATTGGAAATTACAAGAGTTTTTTTTGTGAACAAGAATTAAAATAAATGAGGTAATCTATGGGCAATTAAAATATATGGGGGGTTGAGGCTGTGAGATTTTAGTCAACAAGGTCTCAATTTTTGTCATAATTGTCATAACCTTATTATTTTTCTATATAATAATAATTGAATTTTTAGAAATTATTGAGAGAGGCTCTAATAACCGACTTGGGCTAAAAAATTCCTTATTATTTTTCTATATAATAATAATTGAATTTTTAGAAATTATTGAGAGAGGCTCTAATAACCGACTTGGGCTAAAAAATTACTCATGAGCTATTATATATCTATATTATAATCGAAGGTTTAAAAGAGATTGGAGGGGAATAGCATTGCCATCTCTCCTATTGTCTCTGTCCCTGCCCTTATTTTATGTTTAACATGTGATAACTTGTTTTCAATTTAGGAGGTGTTAAAAATAACATGACTTTTCATTTATCTAAATGACATCATGACTCTATGAAATAATATCTTGCTTTTTGAAACAACTTCTCAGTTTCCGGTTTAACATGTTACACACATACCAAGTAGGTAAATGAGAGGCCATTTTAGAAAGCTAGATGTTATATTTTAGGAATTACATATGATGGCATGTAGATTAATGAAAAGTCATGTATTAGGACATAAAAGTTTGATTTGACATGCAGAATAGTAAGAACACAATCGACACAATGATTTGGGTGTTTAAAACATATATTTGATCGTAGTGAGGAGTTATAGAAATGAACTATATCTAGTGTAAATAATTAACTCAACTCACAACTCTCAATGAACTACATCTCTCAAGAACACTCTACAATGAATACGATAATCACTATTTATATAGGTGCATGTACAAGTCTATCTATCTCTCTCAAGCCTCAAGGCATAAAATCCGCATGTCTAAATGAGTCTTCCAAAGCTTCTCTTTGTCATCCTCCATGAAGAACTTTGCACCAACATTCTCCACCTCAAAGTTCGGAATGGATGATGAGACTCTAAACACCGAATCAACTACTAGAAAATAAGAAGTCCATCAATGACATCCTAATAAGAAGAAATGACGAAGAAATCCAAAAACTCCAATCTTCTGTGGTCGTTAAGAAACGATGGGCTCTAGGAAAAATCAACCCGAGCTATCGGAAGTAATCCCATAAATATGTCTTTGTAGTGAAAACCCATAAAAAATATCCACTTCAGATCAAGCATTCCAAATCACTTCTATGCTCCTCAAATCTTTTTAAGAACTCCCCTTCAAAAATTGTATCAATCTTCAATATTATCATGAAGAACATTCGCTAAAGGTACGAATGTAACGCCCGTGTTTCTGGGCTAAGCATTAGTATAGTGATGTAATAGTCAGGTCAACCATTGTAACCTATTTTGAAGTAATAAAGATGAATTATTTGAGTAATACGTGAATTATGTGAATTTATGTGCTTATTACTTGTTTATAATGATATAATAAATAAAGGATAAAAATAAGCGTCAAAAATAAAGTGTTAGATAAACCCAATATCGATGAAGCAAGTTGTATTGGCCGTGACAAGGATTCCGGACATATAAAGAACGCCGAAATCCGAGTTATAACGAAGAAGTTATGACCTGTCGAAGTTTCACAATAAAACCGACACGATGCTGTGTGACGTAAATAGTGAATTTACGATAGAGGACTTTTTGGCCTTAGTAATCTAAACCACAGTTGTAGTATACGTTAAACCAAGAGCGTGCATAAAAAGAACTCCCAAATCTGACTTCGTATGAAGAAGTTATGAATTTTCTAAGATTTGGCTTAGCAGTGCACATCCTGAAACTCGAATTTTAGTTCGAGCAGTTTTTGGCTTACGCGACCTAAATGAGAATTGAAGATATCATTAATAGGAACTCAACGACAAAAAGACAGACGAAAACGGAGTCCGTATGTAAAAGTTATGAATTTTACGCGGACATTTAACAGTGTAATCACCTCCTACTGTTAAATTTAAGATCGGTCGAGAATTAGCCAATGGGGTCTAAATGAAAGTTGTATTACTCGTAAATACCAACATGTGGATATAAATAACATCGGAAACGGAGCTCGTATGCGAAATATATGGACGAAGCTTAGTCGCTACTCTTCGTGCGCGATAAATACGATACGGTTTTTGTAAATCTGAGATAGAAGAATAATTAGCCGACGGGGTCTAAATGAAAGTTGTAGTACTCGTAAATACCAACGCGTGGATATAAAGAACGTAGAAAACGGAGCTCGTACGCGGAAGATACGGACGAAACTTAGGGGCTACTTTACTATAAAATCCCTATAAATAAAGGGTGAACTCTTCATATTTTCTTCACACCATAAGCCTTTCTTTCTCTCTCTAACTTCTCTCTAGCCTCCCTAAACCCCTCCCAAGTCTAGGGAACCTCCCTAGCACGAGAAGGAAGCCCCGGAGCGCCCGACGGCTCCGAGAAGAAAAGCTTTCGACTCGGAAACGCTGCTCCAGCGAAGCCCGGTTTTTAATAAAAACCCACTGTTTTGTCGAGGAAAATTGTTTTAAGAGTAACGAAGCGCTGTCCGAGTGCAGAGTCACCATCTTTTCAGGTGAGTGCATAGTTATTTCATCTTACACATAGATATGAAGTATTTAATATAAATTACGTGCTATGTATGCATATTGTCTAAATACTTGCTGTCTATGCTGATGAAAGATTTTTATACATGTTTTAAATTATTTAAACTGTATATGTATTTTATATCTACAAAATGTTGGGGGTAAAATATGGGTAAATGTAATAGACGATGTGTGATAAAATGATGAGAGGCCTCGATGTTGTTGTTGTTGATTTTGTCATCTAGCGGAGTATGGATGACAACCACAGACTCTTCTAGACAGTCCAGTGGAACGCTAGTAGGCTCGCAACCTGTAGGTGTTTGTGAACGATGTGTTAACCGGTGTACTCCATCCCCCTCATGGTTTCCTTTAGGACATTTATTGCTGAGGAACCCCTTTAGCAGTAGTGTCCATCCCGATGATGATCCTTAGGCTAGGTCCCTTATGATAGGTGTTTAGGGACGTAAAGTGAGGATAACGGGAACGGGTAATCGGGTTATTGTTGGTTGATGAAATTAATAAACTTATTTATTGTGGGTTGAAAACCCTATGTGCTCACCAGGCTCCCAAACCTGACCCACTCAGTTTCTTGTATTACAGGTAGTGGTGCACGAGCATAGATATGATGTTTGGGATGAGAGATTACGGATATAGGCCTGTAGATATGAATAAATGTAGTAAG